CTTAAAAAAAAAGAAAATATTGAATTTTCTGGAATCATACTCTATCGCTTTTACAAGGAAAACGACTTCTTTCTCAAATAAAATTCTTATGAACTCACCAACTTAATTGTTGACACTTTTCAAAACTACTTGTATTCTCAGGAAATCAGTGAGACAGGAAATCAACAACATTTTTGAGGATGGGACGTTAAATCGTCAAACAGTTCATTTTGTCATCATAATGTAATTGATTTTGAAACATGTAAACACATACTATGGTGTAACTTTTTCAATTATATTTATGATGGTTGTATTTACTTTGAGCACTATTATACTCGTTGTTGTGATACTATACATGAAGTCCTCCACCCCCCGGACGTTTCTGCCATCCTTGGTTTGGGGTTGTGACATCAGAAATCGAAATCAAAATTCTAATCAGTTGATTGTTAGCCGAAACAATCTAAATGAGAACAAAATATCTCGTGAATATGAACTCGCCGATAAAAAGACAGTTGGGAACGGAGTTCGTATGATGAAGTTATGAATTTCGCACGGACTTTAACATTCTAAACCGTTCTAAATATGAATTTTTGTTAGAGAAATAATTAGATGTTGAGGCCTTAATAAACTCGTTGAGAGGATTTTGGGGATATAAAGGTCGTCGAAGATGGAACTTGTATGTGAAAGCTATGGTCGTCTTAAGATTTCAGGAAAATACTTGTGCTGGTGACGTGGCAGCACCAGAGTGCGCCATGTGACCAAGTCGGCTACCCACTCCTCCAAGAGACAAGGCGACGTGGCACCATAAGATTTGGCCACATGACACTATGAAAATGCGACACGTGGCGACATTCGAAAAGCGATGACACGGACGAGCAGCAAGGCGACACGTGGCAAACGACTAGTGGAGCCAGCGAGCGAGGTCAGAGGGCGCGATGCGCTCCCCTATATGTGAGACGCGCTTATAATTTTTCGGCTATAAATAATCGCCTCCGTATAAGCTTCAACCCTCACATCCTTATAAGCCTTCTTTCTCGAGTATTCAAACCTTTTAGCCCATTTTCCCTTAGATTTTGTACTCTAGCGAAGCCCCGTGATCCTTGGGGTGCTCGTGTAACGTCCCAAAAATTCTAAGTGGAAAATTTTCTTTAAATCGATCAACAACAACCAATCATTCAATTAGAAATCCCATTAGAGTATAAAAACATGTCATATAATCATCGGGGTACAAAACAAGTCAAATCATGTGGAACCCTGGTGGATGCGGTAAAAGCACGTCGAGCTCTTTCCTTTGGCACTGGAAGTACCTGAAACCATAAACATAAAGCCGTAAGCACAAAGCATAGTGAGTTACCCAAAATAGCCCATACCATACATAACCTCGGGCCCCGCCCATCATAACGGGCCCCGCCCAACATACATAATGGGCCCCACCCAACATATATAACGGACCTCGCCCAACATACAAATGGGCCTAGCCCAACATACAAATGTAAGAGTCACAATGACAACAATGAAAGCTTTGACCACTTCGAAACGCTCTTGTCTCTCCTTGTTTTGGAACTTTCCAGCAAGGTCGAGATCCATATCGTATGGCCAGTAGTCCTCATAGAACTTGTCCAGCTCAGGTGCCATAGTGGCCACCATGATGCAAGGGACCTTTATGGCATCATCAGAATGTTTGTTGAATGAGGCAATCTCCTCAGGAGTAGCGGTGGATACATCGATTTCGACAAGAGGCTTTTCGAGGACATACTCCTTGCCCTCATAACGAAGAGTCATCTTAAAGTTCCTCATCCAATCCATGTAGTTGGGACCGGTAAGCTTCTCTTTCGACAAAATCGAGAGTGGAGAGAAGTTTGAGTGGGAAGAGCCGACTTGAGTAGCAACGAGTTCACCGTTTCCAGACATCTTTTAAAGAGACATAGTTTTAGTTAGTGATATAAATCCTTAATATTTTAACCCAATATAAATATTCAAGGCTAGGATCCAAAATACAATTCACAACAAAGAAGAGGGATGTCGTAATCTAATTTTGAATTTATTAAGTAGGTAATACAAAATTTACCAATTTCAATCTAGTATGAAACTCCTAGATCGTTTGAGATTCATTGAATCTTATCAATAACATGTTTAATCTCATATTATGCTCTTCAAATTTGTGACTGGGATGCCGAGGATCACAATTAAGATGTGAATAACCATGTAAACACAAATGACAACCTCGATGTCATTTATCATCTCAAATTTATGTACCGGTAAACCACATGCGCTCCATTAACAATAATAAATTTCGATTTGCCTATCACTCAACTTTATAATCCCAAATTAGTGTGCCGGTTAACCACACACATTCCGCTAACGACTTATAACGAGTGATGTGCGTTTTCATGGACTAGCATACACTTCACATTTTTTGTCCTAAAGTAACTAGAATTGGGATTTATTCAAAAGGTTCCAATCCTTTATTAGCATCATACTTTTAAGAGGTTATGTCCTATCAAATCCGTTCGGCTAACGACTCTCCACCATACAATGGAGATGTGGGTGAGAGTGGACACCCATTCAACGGTCATTTTACAGGTCGCTTCCGTATACCCCCTTAGAGAATGGCTTCGTGAATGAGGCGTACTAGCGATTTGACTGACTTATCTTATACATATAATATATTAAACTTTTAATCATATATATATATATATATATATATATATATATATATATATATATATCGTATAAGGTGTATTTTAAACTTTTCAAAATACTAGGGCTTAAAATTAATTTTTCGAATTAAACAATTAATAATAATTAATTTTAAACTAAACAATGATTTAATATTTTATCTTATTTAAACAATTAATTAAATAAATTTAAATCATATTATTTACCAATTAAACAATTAATTAAATAATTTAATTTCATGGATTTAATAATTATTTACCAATTAAACAATTAATTTAAATAATTCAAATTTAATCCTAATCCCTTATACTTCTTTTGATCAATTCAGTTTAGTGCACAATCAAATAGAAAAAACCTACGACTCTGATACCACTGATGGATTTTCTAGGTTATAAACAAAATTTACATGTGACGGAAAAACACTTAAACCGTTAAGTTCACATGCAACCTAGAAAATATCTATGTTTTCTCTATTGATAGCAACTAACTATGAATATCAAGAAAAACCCTAGGAGAGAGGCTATGAAATCGAAATTCATACAAAAAATTAGGGTTACATACCTTTTGATTATTATTGTAAATAATCAAAGTAGAATCCTTCTTCTAGATGTTGGAAAGCTAGCACCAAAGGAACAAATGTCTCTAATGGCTTGTACCCAAAACCCTAGTAGCAAGAAGACTTGAGGAGAGAGGAGACTTGAGCATAAATTCGGCTCTATGAAAGCAAGTATATGTGTGTCGAAAATAGGTACCCATGGTGTCCTATTTATACTTGCTTAAGGGAACTCCCATGGAAACCAAAGAGTCATTTGAATGATTACTTCCAATTAATCCTAGAATTAAATCCAAATTAATTCTAATTAATCAATTAATCATTACTACTTCCAATTAATATATTAATCATATAATATATTAATAAATCATATATTTCAATTTCCAATTAGTTTATTATTCGTATAATAAACTAACAAATTATCCTCTATCTCTAATTGTCATTCTAATTAGTTACTAGTTTTGAGGGTAACCCAAAAAGGATTTTGTTTCTAATTCAAGAATATATCAATTTAGTTATTGGCTCAGACACCTTAATGCAACATAACATTCATGGTCAAGATGGTGGTATTGGTCGGACTTGTTCCAATGCTAAGAGGGGGGGGGGGGGGGTTTTGGGGTACCATTAGTCACTTACACTTGTCTTTAGACAAGATGCAGATTCATATCAACAATCTTTTTTATTGTCAGAATAATCAATGGAGATGGATTGGAGATTCAAATGAAAAATACACAGTGATGTCGTTTAGAAAAATTATAGATGACAAATGGCTAAATCCAAACATGATCAAGGCTCTTTGGAATCATATTTGTCCTGAAAAAGTCAACATCTTAGTGTGGAGAGCAAGGTTATAGAGGCTGACCACAAACTCACAAAGCTCAACCTGGATATAATCGACGTTCATCTTCAAGAGACACTTTGTCCTCTTTGTAACAATAGAGATGAGTCGGAGATACATCGTTCATGGAGTGCTCGACCGCGATTCAAATTCGTTCCATACTTCACATGTGTTGGGACAAAATTCCAATTGCTTTCAACTCTATTGAAACATTGTTTCAAATGGACAACAACACTACTATCCCTCAAAAAAATAAAAAACATTGTTTCTGTCATGCTCATGGCCACTACGTGGGTTATTTGGAAATACATGAATGATCACACATTCAATAATGTCGTCTGGAACAGTCAAGATTTGGCGAGTGAAGTGAAACTTTTGGCTTTCAATTGGATCAAATTTAGATGTAAAAAAGGAAAATTTTTGAACTGACAGACTTGGTGCAATTGTCCGACTAGAGAATGTTTGAACTTGTTGTAATTCTAGCTTCTCGCTAGGCTGGTTTCTAATTAAATCTTCTTGTTGTTAAAAAAAAATGGTTTTACCTAGATAGATTGGGTATGAAATAAAATGCTATTAAATGTAGGGATTAAAAGTGACGAAGTCTAAACGAAATTAAGAAGTTAGGGAATTATAAGTAGTTGGAATGGCCTTAAAAAATATCATTTCCAATGGTAAAAGCTATTAAAAACTTTATTCAGATAGCAACAAGCTTTAAAAAAAAGCTACCATTAGAGATGCTCTAAGTTCAAATAATATGTGTTGGTATTGTCCAACTAGTTATTAGGAACACACTGATAGATAAGTATCCGAAGTGATTCGAAACCTGATGCATGGAAAAACACAAAACAGTTGGGCAAAAACCTTTGCATTACATTTTGTTTTCGTTATCTACTTATATTTTCTACACAAAGGGAAGTTACCAATTGTTTTGTTCTTCTTTATTCACTCAAACAGTTAAGGAAAACGATACAAACAAGCATATAACACATAATTGAAGTTTATCTTACATATTAGATAGTTTGGCTTCTAGCCAAAACTTTTAGTAATCAAACCACATTCACTTGAATCTGCGCATACAAGCATTGATCAACAATTGCTAGGACCGTTGAATTTGGAACCAACAAAGGAATCAACGGCTTCACAAACAGTAAGGAAGATGCAGTCTCTTCCGACTTTATCTACAAACTTTGCTACTTTGAGCTTGTGAATTACTTGCCATCTGGGGCTTGCAATAGCTAGCTGCAACCAAAAACCAAAGTGTCATATATCCTCATCACATTGTACCAGTAGAACCTCATGGATTTTATTAGTGTGAGAGTGAATAATCATCAATCATGGTATAAATTTCAGTAGTGTAACTTAAAATCTTGTTCTCAAACATTTGTTACTATAAATTCATTTTGTATGTTTTGAAATGTGAATCTCATTTTCTTTATGTTTAAGGAAATAAGCTTTCAAGATTTGTGCCTTCTCTTGCCTCCTTGGAGAATTGATGAACTATAATGTGTTAATATTATTCTTGAATTTCGAAAGTTATAGAAGGGTAATTTTCTTGAGATACAAACAAAATTGTTCCAGTAATGATTAGAATCTCACTTTGATGCCTCCTGAAAGCAACTTCTTGTTTGTTTCCTCCAATGCTAGAATCCCGGCATAATCAATGTTTGTCACACCTATATATTGAAAAATATTAGTTTGTGATCAGATTGTAAATTGTCTCCATGTATGGGTTAAGCTTTATTACTTACTAGACATGTCCAAAATTATTCCACTAATAGGTCTTTTTGTAGCTTCTTTTCCATTCTCTTCGGTTACCCATTTCAATATCCTACAAGGATCAACCAAAATTACATAATATATATAGAAAAAGATAATGGGACATTTTTCTTAATCAAACTTTCTTTAATTAGGTACACTTATCATATCAAATTAATAATTACCTATCTCTAAGAGGATTTGCATTTGTAAAACAAAGCAAGCCGGAATTGAGCCGAATGATTAGAACGCCAGGAACTGCTTGAGCGACAGGATATTGATCAACTTCACAAAAGATGTCTGTTCCTGGAAGTCTTCCTAGTTCTTCCACACGAGGTCGTAGAGCGTTAAGGATTATCTTAGCAAAAGAAACAGCGACCTGTCATATAATTGAAAGTTGTTATCTATTATTAGGTTAAATCAGGATTCATAAAAATAAGGATCACGTAGTCTAAATTTAGAAAATTTACATGTTATTTGAGAGTCATTATAAATTCTTGATAATTGTCACGAGATGTAGTTTCCAATTAAAATGGACAATTTTGTTTTACAAATAAAATCCCCTCGGAGCAACCATAAAAATACGAGGCATATGATCACAACCCACCATATTTGGTGGTTAATATTCAACTTTTAGTTTATATTCTAGCTTTTTTATATATGATTTATTAAATATTTCACATAAAATTAATAAATTAATTAACATAAAAAATACATCACTATAAAAGTTTCACGTTTTAAAGAGAGTCCAATATTAAATATTTTATTTAATGTTTTGAGTATACATTTAGAGTTTATCATTTTTATTTTAACAAATTCTTTATAACAAAAATACTACTAGAAGTTAGCAAATCTAATTATTTATATTATAATTGATATATTTTTTTTAAAAGCGGGTTAACTTATGTCTGAGATAGACTCCAAGACCTTCTTCTTATATACATTATTAGCAAAGTGAGCTAGATCTAACTTGTTATAATTGATATGATTATTATATGATAATATGGTACAAAATAAATGTTATTAATTTTATTACTAAAATATTAGTTATAAATCCATTATGATGTTATTTTATTTTATGATGGAATGGAATTAAAAGTTAATACTAAGAAATTATCATTTTGGTTTTGGTTACTGTTATGGCTTGAGTTTTGACTATAAATAATTAATTTTTTGATATGATAAAATTATGGGAGATTTCTATACAATATATTTTGTTATACAATAATGATATGTTAGTTTTATATTATATAATTCTTTAAAACATAAATTGTTTTATATGACAAAAAAATTTTGTATACAAATAAACTCTTTAAAACTATATATAAATAATGTATCAAAAGTATTTTATTATTTGAAAAACTTATTTAAAAATTTCTTTAATAATTATAAAGATAAAGTTTTTAAAAATAACTTCAAACTAAACCCAACATATCATTCAGATAAATAACATAAAAACCCTTATGTTTAGCATAAATGTATGGATTTAACCTTTTGCATATTTACGTTCGTTAAAATCGGATTTGCAACTACTTTTTTTAATTTTACAATTTTGATTATTTATGGTTCATTAAACTCTTTATGTTTGACATAAATGATTGATTTTACATTTTATTATGGTTTATTAAAACCTTTACGTTTGCAGAAATGTTCGTCTTTACCGAGTAACCTGCCAAAAGAGTAAAATTGAAAAAAAAAGTTGCATGCCTCCGACTTTAATAAATCTAAAATACACAAAAATGTAATTTCGTATATTTATACTAAACTTAAAGACTTTTATGTCATTTACTTATCTTTTAATATATTTTAATTTGTACTTTCTATTCGAACGCATTTTGTTCATTTTAAATAATTTCATTTGCATATTAAATATTTATTATCTTTTTTTTTATCAATTATTCTATTTATTAAATATACAAAAAAAACAAATATACTTTTATAAAAAGTAAATCATTAATATAAAATAATATATATTTAAGAAATAAAATGCATATTTAAAAGTAACAAATTAGAGACGTTTTCATAGATATTTATGATAGATAAATATGTAGTCTTAGTTCTTTAAAACTATAAAAACGATCTTTGTGGTTTTTGGTTTCCTTTCGATTTAGTCCAAAGTCAAGATATACTTTGACCAAATGTTCTCATAATCATTTTGTTAATTCGGGGAAAGTTTATACGTATACCTTTATCTATACAGTAAAGCAACTAAAAAAGTTCCAACTTGCAACAGTGGTCCAAAATAAGATATTTTTATGGTTTTGGTCGGTACCAAATTTGTTTTTGTTTTTGTTTTTTGTTTTTTGTTTTTTTGTTTTTTTAGTAAATTATTGAAATCATCCCTATGGTTTGGTCAAAATGACATGTTTGGTCCCTAACTTTTTTTTGCACTCAAATCGTCATTGTGGTTTGATTTTGTTGCGTTTTTCGTCCATATGGTTTGGTCAAAATTGCACGTTTGATCCCTAACTTTATGTATGTAAGAGACGAAAAACGTAACAAAATCAAACCACAAGGGCGATCCGAATGCATAAAGAAAAAAAGTTGTGAATATGGTCCATGTTAAACCTAAAATGACTAATCAACACATAAATAGTTTTTCTTTAAAGTTTCTATCAATTTGATTTCTTTCTTATTATTATTCAAAAAGATTTAACCTCTCACAAGAAGAGACGAAGGAGAGGGGTGACAAGTGAAACCATGGTGGTGATGACTGCAGTGTTTTAGTGGCAGATGAGGGAGGACCAATGGTGTCTTCAGAGCACATACATAACATATGTGTCAAAAAGGGGGATTTATGATGTGCGTATATATGTAAGGTATGTATATGTTTTAATGGTGGAAACAAAAGAGGGAACGTTTTCTTGAGTTCTTTGTTAATGTGTGGTTGTGTGAAAAAGATAGGAAATGATGGTGGGAGTGATTGATTGTAGTCTTATGAGAGAGAGAGAGAGTGTGTGTGTTGGGGTAGTGTAGGGTTGGTCTCTTTTTATTTTTTCAAATAATTAAAACATTAAATAAACAAAAAAATGAAATAAATAAAAGGGTGCAAGTGATTGACTTGGTGATGTCCTTAGACTCTCATTTATATTAACCATGTCACAGGCTTAGTGATGACATGACTTAAAGTGGAAGGAGTAAACACCACCCCTAGGCGTATGGGTGTGGTGTGGAGTGGACAGACCCTAACACACTTCACGAATGAGAGAGATTGTTTTCTCTTTCTTCCTATGTTTTTCTCTGTTTTCTCCTCTTTGTTACCTCTCTCCCTGTAGATAATTGTAGCGTAATCATGATGTTGAGTGGTGTGAATATCCTATTGTCTTATCCGTAAGAGAGTAAGACAACGGTGGGTTAAAGCAAGTTTTTGATTAGAGGTTGGCTAAAAAGACACTCATTTTTACCATTTAGACAACCCTAATTAATTTTGAAGTATTTTTATTGGTTGAAATTGCATTGTTTTCCGAAAAAACTGATTACAAGTAGTTTATTATAGGTTGACTTTTTATAAAAATGATGAGAGGGTGTCTAAGGGGTGTCTTATTATCTTTCCATTTCCTTTCATTAAAAAACTTAGAAAATCATTTTTTTTCGCTTCCATCTATTTAATGAAAAATGGAAATCACATGATCATTTTTGCAGTTTTTCTTCTAACATTAGTAAGGAAGTTTTTGTAAAGTTTAATAAAGCGAGTTTTCTATAAAAAGTTTTATAAAGTAAAAGTTAGAGAAAAATAAAAAATAACAACTCTTTTTAATATTAAACAGAGAAAAACAGTAAGTGAGAGTAAACAAAGAAGTGTAGATTGTGGACTCAAGTGAAATTCGATACTGTACAGTAGTCAACTACTTGTCCCCAGATTTGATACTGTACAGTAGTCAACTGCTTGTGTCCATCTGAAATGGATCCCACAGTCGCAATATAATACTTCACGTGTATGGACATGGAATCACTAATTAAGTAGCTTCATGTTGATCCTGTTCTTAGTTTCTAACTTTCAGAAATAGAAAGGCCACTTTCATCTGGGTCCACTCCAGTCTTCTCTTTAATAATTCATTCGCACAACATTTATTTTGGAGAAAAGAAATCTTTGAAAACAACGCTTTAACTAATATAATATCATATGAATTAATATTGTTAGAAATACTTACCGCAACCATTAGACCCATCTCTACCGAAGCAAATAACACACCAAAGAAAGCTCCAGCACAAGCCAAGAAGTCTAACTTGTCGACTTTCCATATATTGTAAGCTTCAGTATAGTTGATCAATCCAGGAAGTGCAGATAAGATTATCGAAGCAAGTATAGCAACTGGAGTATAGTATAGAAGCCCTGTTAAAAGCTGTAGCGATACAAGCACTGTGATAGCCATTACTATATTTGATACTGCTGTTTGACACCCAGCACTAAAGTTGACAGCAGTTCTTGAAAATGAACCTGCATAATTAGTTATACATATAAGGTTGACTTAATTGGTGTTAAGTTGTGTCTAATATTTGATCATTTTGTTGATTAAGTGATCATTAAGTTAAATATTACCAGTAGCAACATAACAAGAAGACATAGATCCAGCAATGTTCATGAAACCCATGGCTATCATTTCTTTATTCCCATCCATATTATACCCTTTGATTGTAGCAAAAGATCGGCCAACTGCAACAGCTTCCTGAAAATATATATGAGTTAATAAAATAACAAATTTTTTGGTTAAGTTTATTGGGAAATTAATTAAGTATCTTGAACATACTGTTAGAGCAATGATAGCACAAACTAGCCCAATTTTGACTGATTCTCTGAGGTGTGGACTGTTGAACTGCAACTGATTAACTGAACTTGGATTCAATCCTCCTTTGAAATGTTTGATTATTTTAATTCCATGTTCATCTCCTTTTGTTAAGTAGACAATCAAGGTGGAGAGAATGACTGATACCAATGGAGCAATTGCAGGTAACCAGAATAACCGTTTGTTTCTTTTTCCCTGAATTTTTCACCATGTATGTGAATTAATCACCAACAATTAATATTGTCATATGAGAAATTAAATATTCTTTATATTTTTTTCCTATTTATCTTCTTATATACCCATATAAAATGACAACAAGTGTTACATATTGATTAAATTAATAATATTTTAAGACACTTGTTATTATTTCATATCGGTACGAAAATAATTCTAAAGAAAAATAGAAGGATATTTAATTTCTCTTGTTATATTATTAAATAAAATAATTAAGATGTCATGATGGGTTGCTTACAATAAATCTCGTGATTAAGATGAAGATGAGGAATGAACATCCAAGGATAAAGTTCTGAGGATACCACTGTTCAAATGAGAAATAAAATAGTGATTAATTATGGGAATATTTAAAGCAAAAAATAATACAAAGTTTAAGTGGAAAAAAAGGGTGGTTGTAATCTTAGGGCCTCCCACCAACAGGTTTCCACTATTAATTTTATGTCGTTATGTTCGAGAACAACACAACTATTTAATCATAAATAGGAAAAAACATAAAATAATTCTCTAATTATCATCCTGACAACGACTTCTCGAAAAAGTGTACTTATATTTTATTTGAGACCAGGAAGGAAATATATTTCTCTAACCCAAAGTCAAAAAGACAAAGAAAACGTGAAAACTTACGGAATCGTGGAATGATTTAACAACGGCAATCAGCACAGAAACAACATCAGTTTTTGTGGTGAAATGACTTATCCCAAGCAAACCTTTGAGCTGTTGGAGACCGATAACAATGGCTGCACCCGCCATGAACCCTACTATAGCCGCTTGCGACAGAAAGTCGATAAGAAAACCCAGCCTACATACGAATCAACATGCAACAATAGTGAACATAAAGATTAAAGAACTAAACACAAAATTTTCATTGAAAGATCGAGCTCTCAACTTCCATGAGTGATCAGGTAGATAAAACAGTACCTGAACAATCCGAAAAGGGTTTGGAATGCACCAGTGAAGAAGGTGACAGTGAAAACGAGCTTATTGTAGGAGACAGGATCAGCCATCGGATTTACTACTTTAGAGCACATGGCAGATATCAGCAGCGAAACCACAGCCACTGGACCTATGGCTAACTCCCGTGAAGTCCCCATGGTTGAATATATCAAAGGAGGTACAACACTAGTGTCTGAGAAAGTAATCAAACCATTAAGTTATTCAAAAAGGAGCGAGAATTCTTATTATTAATAAAAAGGATATAGATTTCAAAACTTACATAGACCATATTGAGGCTTAAGTTGTGCTAAAGCAGCATAACCAATACTCTGCAAAGCTTCAATTAAATGGTTAGTGAAAAAGAGAGAAAATCGAAAGGATTGCTTGTTAAGCGTTGGATTTGGTGAAGAAATGCATGTACCTGGGGTATGCAAAGACTAGCAAGGGTTAACCCTGAAAGCAAGTCGTTCTTGAACATGGAAACCTTGTATTCCCTACCCCAGTTAAGTATCGGAAACACAGAACTCAAAAACGCCATAACACAAGCTAATGGAGGTTCATGTGTTGCATTGGGTTTCTTGTTTTTCCGTGAACAAACAGCATTTCTGATAGAACCAAGAATCTCTTGGCGAAAACCAGGAGGGTCAGGCGAATCAAGAACCCATTTGGTTCGTTCAGTGATCCGCTGACGATCCTCAGAACTAAGTTGCAGTTGCAGCTGATCATGTCCTTCGACTGAAAAGGCATGATCGGTTGCAGATGAAACAGAAGTTGGCACTGATGAAGAAGCCATGCTTTTGTTTCTTTGAAGTGTTTGGGGGAACCCAGGTGTGATCGAGACTTAATTCATATTACAGAACAAAACAAGCGGTTGCCAGAGAGAATATTGATTTGCGATGACTCAAAAAATTTACAAGAGACAAGTAGATGCTAAAGGACACAGCATAACGCAACCTACATTTAAGATGTCTTTGGTGTAATCTTTAGAAGAAAGATTTGCTGGAACTTATAAAGGTTGTAAAACTAGATGCTAATGATCTCCACAAATAGTTATTCAAATGGAGTAAAACCCACTTTTAAGGTTAGTGCTGAAACAGTGCTTCACTCAGTTAAATTGAATGCTTTTTGAACAGTGAAAGTTGAATAAGGTACCATATCATGTCTACATACATTGAACTAACAATGTGGAGCTCCTATATATAGGTCAATTATAGCCCTTTGGTGGGTATGTCCATCAAAATTTGTGTAAAGTGCTTGGTGTATGGGAAAAAAAGAATAATATTATATTATTTGATGAAAAGTGGATGTGTAAAAACGTAGAAGAGAAGGTCGTCTTTTCAGTAGGATTTTGAGTTCGGAGGACAATGTAGTCTGGTTGCTGCATCGTTTGAATAAATGTATATTTCAATCCAAAGTAATTGAAGCTGCTTGTTTTAAGTTGATTCCGATGGTATATGATACCAAATCAACAAATGGACGGTGTACAAAATGCATAGCTTCGGGATCAATGCCCTAAAAACATTAAGTCAATATATGCTTGACGGAAGAGCATCTTGTATTTTTGTAGCAAAGATTTCATGTAGACTTTACAATTTATTTAATATGTATAATGGGAACCATGTGAACGAATTTCATTCCTTGGGTGTTATATGATGAAAACATGCTAAGATACATGAGAAAAGTATATTTTTTAGTCATACAAAAACGTATTTCTATATTTCTATATTTAGGCGTGTTCGGCACGGAGCGTTTGAGAACTTCTAGCTTATAGCGTTTGACAAAACATTCCGTTTTAAACAGAAAGTCTCATTTAACACTCCAAGAATGTAAATTCATTTCATTATCCTTATTTTAAATTACACATTGTTCTCCTGTTATCTATATGAGATAAATTAAAAAAAAAAAAAACCATTTATGTGATTTTTGCCTCTTTTTTTTTTCCTACATGAATTTTTTTGTGTCCCTCTTTTACCATTTATGTTTGTTTTCTGAATTATTTTGTATCCCCTCTTTTTTCAATTTGTGTTTGTTTTCTTGGAGAAGATAACAAAAGTCCTTAAATTATTTAAAATCCATTACTAGTAAACACTAATTTCAAAAAAATCAAGTTGACAAATTGTTTAGTTTTTTACTTTCATCTACATTTCTATTTGATAAACTTGTTTTTTTAATTTAAATTTTGTAGAAGAGTTCAATAAAAAATGTTGTAATTAAATATGTTTATTAAAAAATATAATTAATTGCAAAAAAATATTAAGGGTATTTCTGTTATATGACAAAATTTATTTTCCAAATCATTTCTGAAATCAGCAAACCAAACAGAATACAGATTCCATTCTATGTCACCAAACGCATTGCCGCTTCTAGTACATTCAGATTCCAATTCTTTTGATAGATTTCATTCATTCCAAAAACATTCGATGAACCAAACGCCTCCTAAGATTCTTAGCAAATCTTTTAACATATCAAACTTTCAATTTCAAATAATGTCCATAATAACAAAATTTTGTGCCTAATTAAGATAACATATGATTGAAGAAAATCCAAAATTCCATTCCATTCCGTATCAATTAGAATGAAATAAAATTGTATGAATAGAGTATGAAAATGTTCAAAACAAAGTTGTAAATATTTCTCTAAATTGTGATAGTTTCTGATTTTGGAAAATACAATGGAATGACTTGTTGTAACGAAACAAAGAATTAGGAAAAATATGTGTTATTTTGGAGAATAAATCTCTAATTCTTCATATAGATGTAATAAAAAACTGAACATAATAACTCAAAAGACAAAAAAAAAAAATCATAATTGTACTAATGTGGACCGAATAGGACTCCCATGATACTAAGGAAACAATAATAAAAATCATACGAAGGTAAGTAAAACTGAACCTAAGTGAAAAAGTTAAAACATGTATGCTAGCTAAAATCACTAGTCAACATTTCAAAGATGTTGTTAGGGAAAGCAAGGTGTTAGAACTTATACATAGTGATTTATATGATTTCTATGCAACACCTTCCCTTGGAAAAAAAATTATATTATTACTTTTATTGATGATGCCTCTAGATATTGTTATGTCTATTTGTTACATTAAAAAGATGAAGCTCTTGATAAATTTAAGATTTATATACAAGAGGTTGATTTTAATAAAATTGAATTAATAAAAGTTTTGCATACAGATAGAGGCGGTGAGTATTATGATCCAGTTTATTTTGAATCAACTGGAATAATACATCAAACCACATCTCCTTATACACCACAACAAAATGGTGTAGCTGAAAGGAAGAATAAGGCTTTGAAAGAAATGGTTAACTTCATGTTGTCATGTTCTAGTTTATGTGAAGGGTTTTAGGGTGAATCTATGTTGACTGCATGTTATATTTTGAATAGAATACCAAACAAAAGGAGTAAGAATACTCCTTATGCAACTTGGTGTAAGAAGATACCAAATTTGAGTTTTCTCAAAGTTTGGGGTTGTAGAGCAGTTGTAAGGCTCACTGAACATAAAAAGAAAACATTGGGTGAAAGAGGTATAGATTGTATCTTTATTGGATATGCTGAGCATTCCAAAGCTTATAGATTTTATGTTTTAGAATCTAATGAGTCAGTGTCTGTGAATACTGTTATGGAGTCAAGAGATGCTATATTTGATTAAGAAGTATTTACATTTATATCTAGACCAAGGGGCATGATTCAAAAATCTTTAAGCAAAAACACAACTCAAGTTGAAGATGTTTCTGGTAGTACAAGTTCTATGCCTAAACTTAGGAAGAGTACTAGAGCTAGAAAAGTTAAATCTTTTGTATATGATTTTCAACTTTATTTAGTTGATGGAACATGGGATGAGATTGTGTGTTAACATCAATATTGTTTTAATATTGAGGAGGATCCAAAGACTTTTAGTGAAGTTATGGCTTCTAGGGGTGTTCATTTATGGAAAGAGACAATTCAGGATGAGATCGATTCTATCATGCATAACAATACTTGGGTATTGTCAGATTTACCTCCTGGTTGCAAGACATTAGGATGTAAATGGATCATCAAAAAGAAAAATGAAGGTGGATGGTACAATAGATAAGTATAAAGCCAAATTGGTTATCCTAGGCTTTAGGCAAAAGGAAGACATTGGTTTCTTTGATACTTATTCTCTTTTTCCTAGAATTTCCACAATTATATTATTATTAGCTCTTACAACTATACATAATCATGTGATTCACCAAATGGATGTGAAAACTGCATTCTTGAATGGTGACTTGGATGATGAAATTTACATGAAACAACCTGAAGGGTTTATGATGCCTAGAAATAAACACAAGGTGTACAAGTTAAAAAAATCATTATACGGTTTGAAACAAGCACCGAAAAAATGGCATCAAAAGTTTGATGACGTTGTCTTGTCTAATGGATTTGCATTAAACCAAGTTGACAAGTGTGCATATAACAAATTTGATACTTCTAGTAAAGGAGTTATGATTTGTCTATATATAGATGATATGTTGATTTTTGGTACTGACTGTAACACCCAAAATCTTGAGGAGAATTGTTGGAAGTAAAGCCCTTTTTAGGGTTGGACACGACGTGTTGGAGGAATCAACATGATGTGCCTAGGATGAAAGAATCACGAAGATTAAATGAACCAACACGGCATGTTGAGGTGCCTCAACATGGTGTGTGTAACACCCATAAAAATTGAGCCAATTTAAAACATTTTAATTCATTCAGAAACCATTAAGTTCATACATCTCGTTTTCAAAATAGTTTAAACATCAGAGTATCCCCCAGAACCATATTACATAAATCATAAAACATGAGGAGCGGTACGATCACGCCTTCGCCTTGCCACGATCTCCTGAAGTACCTGAAACAATACACTGAACTGTAAGCCCGAAAGCTTAGTGAGTTACCCCCAAAATACCAACCACACATAAACATACTCATAACATATCACAAATAGAACAGCCATGCACATCGGGTCTACTGTGTGACTGGTCCACCCGCACCGGGCCTTCAGTCCACCTGGTCCACCCTCCGAGTCTAGCCATGTATATCGAGTCTACAGTGTGATTGGTCCGCCCGCACCGGGCCTTCAATCCACCTGGTCCACTCTCTGAGTCTACAGTATGACTGGTCCGCCCACACCGGGCCTTCAGTCGGCCTGGTCCACTCTCCGAGCCTCGGCACGTCTGGTCCGCCCTCTTGGGGCCTTCAGCCTATCCGGACCGCTCGTCGGGCCTTCGGAATATCCGGCCCGCCCTGGGTATGTTGGCCTACAACACAAAGCAGGACCCACCTCAACCCAACCCCCGTCCAACAACCATGTGCACATAAAACAATTAATCACATAACAAATCCTTAACCAGACAAACAGTCTAACAGATCACATAGCATATCAACATCCTAACCAGGATTCCAACCTAACCGGTCACTAGCATAACATTACCCTATATACCGGGTACCGACCTTAACCAGGTCACTAACATAACACCATCCTAAATACCAGGATGCAGATCTAGCAAAGCAATAACATAACAAACAATACCCGGATTTCCATCCGATAAAGGGCCGCCCTTGGTGCCGTAGACCCTGTCGATATAGTGAGGATAACTCACCTGCAATTGCCGACTGAAGAGATACGACCAAGCTGCTCCAACCACCGACACGAACTTCACCACAACACACTACCAAAGAACCAATACCAAAATTACCAAAATACCCTTGGAAGTCAAACTGGTTGATTCTACTCGCCGAGTCAACCCGTCAACTCGTCGAGTTCTTATACTCAGAAAACTCCCATAACACGACTCAACTCGCCGAGTCGCCCCAAGACTCGTCGAGTTCAACGATCTCGGAATCCCATCCTGTCCAACTCACTGAGTCGCCAACTGACTCACTAATCCAAAGCTTTAACCAAAAGAGGTTGGGTTCTGCGACCAGACTCGCCGAGTCCAAGAACAGACTCGCCGAGTCCAAGGCAATCTTCAACAGACTCGCCGAGTTGTTCTTCCAACTCGCCGAGTCCATGCACATGTTCATACA